CACAATCACAATCACTAACTTCTAACTAAGCTAGCATGGGTGGTACGTATTATTATATATATAAAGCAATTCAGTTCTTTATTTAATATAATGGATTCATCTAATTTCATGCACCATGGAATTAACCGATCATATTTGGTTATTAATTTCTTGAAGGGGACATTTTTCTAATACATAATAATAAGACATGATGCCTTTTTAATTATATTAATTCTGCAAAGGAGTTTTTGGACATATACATATTAATTAAAGCAATCTGCACTAACAAGACACCAATATATTATATATAGATAGAATCAAAATCATGATCGACCCAAATACTGTCAAAATGTGTACATCAGATGCTGCATGCATACATTTATAAAAATGTAATTTTCATTGAATAAATAAATAAATCACCCAAGAATTCGTTGTATATATATTTAAAATTATATAAGTCGGCATCATTTAATTAATTATTCATATATTATTCAAAAAAAAACTTTTTGACTCCATGTAGAATTAACTGATGAAATATGATGGATCAGTTGGCAGCATGGGGATGCCAGATGACTATATGTACATGGATAAGTAGGGGACCTAATTTTACTTTTATTATCCAGATCCATCGATCACCCGACCACCATATTTTATTATTTATTATTTCCCAACCACTTCTCTCTCTCTCTCTCTCTCTCTCTCTCTCTCTCTCTCTCTCTCTCTCTCTCTCTAACTTATAAGTTATAACTGATCGTATTGTATACTCCACATTTATTCACAATAAATCAAAACAATGTTTTTCCACAAATATTCCACCTCCACTTACATATATATGATCAATATTTAGAATCAGTCTATTATTAGTTTTTTTTCTTCACATTTTGAATTACTTAATATATATATAATTCGATTTCTTCGACGACTGCCAACAAGATAAGTGCGTTTTAATCAAAAAATTATGAATCGAGAGTATAATATGAATAATCATCGATATATCTAGTACTGTCCTCCTATAGTGAGCGTGAGCATTTAATTATTTGAATTTTTGTGTACATGCATGTATATATATTATTTTTGGTCACGACGAATTAATAAAACCATAGTAGCTAGCTGGAAATAATAATTAATGAAATAAAAAAAAACATTGAATATAAATGTGTCCTTGTTTTTGGGTTCCACCACACGTGCAAACCCACCGGCCGGGGGTATTGATGTTGATCAGTACATTACCAAGAAATTGTCTGTACTTGCTTTGTATGTATTATCTGTGTGCATGTATATATACATACATGGGACTAGTTTGTCGTGCCGCCATGCAGAACCACCACGTGAACTTCACAAGGGGGCCGGGGCAACCACCCACCTTTCATTTTCTCCAACACTACTCAGTACTCACTCTTCTTTCTTATTACACTATTATTTATTTATTTCCGGTCCTCGATCTCAATTTTAATTATCTCTGCTTCCGACCATTCTTCTTCTATCCTTTTGAAAATGCAGCCTATTCAATAATATACAATATATTATATATATATTCAATGAATTCATAAATTGATATATATTCAAGAATCAAGATTCATGCATGAACTATAGTATTTCATAAACATGTCCAATCAATATGTAGTCATGAAAAAACAAATTAAATATAATGTGGTTTCATACGAATCAATCTGTACCTAATTAGCTCGACGACGCGGTATGATGATGATCGATCCTACATATTAATTTCTCTAATCATTAATTTTATATTTGACTGTCCGCCAATTAACCCAGATCAATCGGGATTGAATTGGTTTAGATTGAACCAAAATCGATTCGATTTTCTGTAACTGCAGAGTCGAGAAATTTCCCAACCCTTGAACTACTGGCTTACAACATATATGGTCGTCAAACTATACAAATAAAAATGATATACTATCTTTTTTATTATTATATTTTAAAAGTACGTACACATCATATACGTTATTATTATATTATTAAAACAAAATACGAGATGAAATATAGTTTTCAAAGAAATAAATTAAATAATTAATCATATGGCCTTGAAATCTTAAAGGGCTATGTATATATATAAAAAACTTGAATATTATAACAAATATATAATATGTACGTCCATTATCCGAAGAGGCAAATTAAATGTATATCAAAACACAGAGTGACGAAGGGGGCAAAATGAAATTCACCCATACTATATATGACCCTACATATATTTTCAATCATAGTTATTTGTTTATTCTCCACATAATTGGTGTAATATTCTTCATCACTAATAACATCAATACATCCGACAAAATTAAGAGAATCATATTAATCTAATTAAGAAAAAACAAGAGCAATCGCTTCATTCCTTTTTTTTTTTTAAGTAGATATGATGCTTAATTAGCTTCTCGTATCATTATCAATAAACAATAAGACAACCAAATTAATTTAGAATGGCAGCTCATGTAATTAGCTAGTATCATGATGTAATTATTAAGAGATTGAGTTGTCGCCTGTCGACACGTTGAAAATTAATTAATATTTTTCACAGACAATGCACATAATGAATGAATGCTATTTTCACAAATAAATTGCATTGCGTGGAAGTTTAATTAAAGGTGTTCAAAAAAGAGTATTAACAGTCATGATTAGGTTAAAGATGTATTAATGGAAACGTGTTAAGACTTAATTGTAGTTAATCTTGAAAGCAATTTCTTACCATTGATTATATATAAAAGGGTTTAGCTTTAATAAGCACACTTTGTCAAACATAGCCTTCAACTGTCTTTCTCGGATACGAGACATGTTCACACACTAATTAATCTTTCAATTTTTATATATGACTAGAATTAAGAAAAATAAAAATAAAAAAATAGAAAGTTTAGAACTAATTTAATTTATTTTGTAAATAAACAATCGAACCCTTGAGAGTGTTAGAGAGTTAGGTTTACACCAACACACAAATCAAATTCATTAAAACAAGTAGCCTTTTAGATCTTGTGACGTATACGCACGTAAATAGGATTTCATATCTTAATTAACAACAATTAATAGTTGCAATATGTAAAAATACGTAATAGAGAATTATTATTACTTAACTTTAACGTAACATTATTGACACGTAAGCATATTAGTCCATGATATAAATTAAAATGAATGATTGGTGCAGTCAAAACGGCAAGACAGTAGATCTACGGTTCCTTCGATCCTACACCCGGTGAAAAACACCAGGTGGGTCTTCTGCTGCCACGTGTTCTTTTTTTATTTTTCTAAAACCTTAAAGGTAAACCCTAGCGGGGAAAAGGTCCTATTTCGATGGTC